CAGTAAATAATTGTATACTTCAGTGGAAAATAATAAAGGCTTCATCTCCTGTGAATACGGTATTGGAAAACACTGTGTTTCCAGCCAAGAACTACCAATAATACTTCATATTAAATTTATACTTTTTTATTTCAGGTCCATCCTTTTCAAAGATGGGGTTTTATATGTTAAACTCAGGTTCAATCACCTCTCCTACAAAGAAGATCCAATGGGATGGCAGAGTTTGTTGGCACAGACTGTTGCTAACAGGAACTCTGAAGCACGGGCTTTCAAGGTGGTATTGATGGATAAAAACTGAGAGATGATAGGAAATACTTCCAAATCCCACTAGCTAGCTTCCCCTCTCATAGCTGCAGATTCTAAAGGTGTGAATCTGCTTTCTCTCTCATTGCTGCATATTGTAAAGACTGATTGACCTTGAGGTTCATTTGCTGTTTTATGTGACAGCCATAGTGAAATATGGACACTCTACCAGTACTCAGGATTGACATTTAGCAGCAAGGATGGTCACAGTGTATCTTGACACTATAAAAGTATTTATATAATAATTTTACTTACTAATCCTCGAATCAGTCAAGATTTCCTTAATTCATAGCAAAAATGAGAAGAATTTTACAAGCTATCATTTATTAACCATTGTTTGTATCTAATCTTGTGAGGATGAAATGATTGACAGAATCAGCCTTTTTTATTAGTTTGCCTTATTATTTGCACAGTACTTGATTGCTAATACAGTCATATTTGAAATGAAGAAATCGAATGAGACGATGTCATTCTTATGGGGGGGAGGTTAATATATATTTTGTTCTATATTTCAGAACTAGTTTTCAACACTAGAAATATATTCCATGGTCTACCATTAGCATTTCTGAATTTTTAAAAATGTAACTCCAGTTTTCAGGAATTCCATGAGCAGATGTATTCCTGCAGGTAATTATAGACAAAATGTGCAAAAATTTGGCAGCTAGACAAGCTGAGTGCCAATCGGGGGACTAAGTTAGTAGAATTCACTGTTCTTCCAAGTGAGGAAGCAGCAGTGTATTTTAATTCAACTCACATTTAATTTTAAGTCAGTTACTCATGACTGAGCCTTTAAAATAGTTCTCAGAGCTTAAAAATATAAACAGTTCCCAGAGTTGACATCAGTGAATTTTGTTTGGCAATATTCAGTAGGTTGTCTATAAGATTCTTTTTGGAGAATTTTCAGGCAAAGTTTAGCTTAAAATAGCACTATTGCTGCTTCTAAAAATTAGCTGATCTCAAAAACTCTGATCCAATTTGTAAAGAAAATAGGTATACTTAGACCTGAGTTTGAATGAGGAAAGTATATAAAAATTAAAAGACATCTCAATTTCCCGCCTGGGATTTCAGATATAAAATATAAACTTCAATGAAAAATTGTAATAGCTTCATATTCCGATTTCAGTCTTGAGGCTTGAGTGATAGTCTGCTTTTTTTTTTTCTCAATTAAAACTGTGGTAAAATACACATAGCAGAATTCATTGTCTTGACCATTTTTAAGTGTAGAGTTGAGTTATATTAAGTATATTCATACTGTGTGTAACCACCACCATCCATCTTCAGAACAATTTCGTCTTGTGTACCCATTAAACACTAATTCTCCATTTCCCCCTCCCAGTCTCTGACAACCACCATTTTCTGTTTTCCATCTGTATGATTTTTGGTTACATTAAGTACTATATGTAGATCCACAGAATCTTTGTCTTTTTGTAACTGTCTTATTTGAATGATAGTTCTTTTTTTTTCGTACCTTTTTAGTAGCAATTCTGGTTTCCAGTAGGATTTTTAGTTACTGTAGGAGGAGGAAAGTTATTTTGAGTGAGTTGCAGAAAAAATGAAGATCTGTTTCCTACTGGCTTTTCAATATGTCATTAGCTCATGTTTGCATGTGCAAAAACTTCTCAGCAGAACAGGTTGATGCTCTAGCAAATTAGCACCATTTTGTGTTTTATGGGAACATTGACCAAGGCGAGGTAGAGTTCTTAGAACTGCATGCATTACTATTTGAGGAAAGTAGTCTTTTATTATATTGCTTACATTGTTGTTGTTTGTTTTTTAGCCAGAAACAATTTCAGCATTCACTTCTGATCCAGCACTTCTGTCATTTGCTGAATATTTTTGCATACCAACCGTGAACATGGGTCAGGTATATATCATATGGTTTGCTAAGCTCTAGGACTAGAATTTGTTATTATTTCTCTCTGTGAGTCACCAAAAACAACTATGATGTCTATATCTGTCTTTGAGATTGGTGGCATGTCTCAGGCACACTGATGATTTTTGATTGGCACATATAGATTTTCCATAATCTAACACTATTAAATTTAATAACTTCCTACCTTGAGAAAAGAAGCAAACTTAAAATTTCTAAAACATTAATTTTGATAGATGATAATTTCTATCATCATCAGAATGATGTTCATTCTTGTACTGTTTTATGTTTCAATGTTTACCACCTTTCTCTTGTTTTTATGTAATTTCATGGCTTCTGTTTCCTCTGTATATCATAACCCTTCTTTTTCTTGGTCGGACAACTATTCTCTTCAGATCCAAGGGTGCCTAGCTGACCTTTGATTTTATCTCTCATGCAGACAAGGATGGATAGTCTGTTGTCTGTGTGGCCTTGGGAAAATTTCTCTACCTAAGATATAGTTCTCTCATTTCTAAAAGTGGGATTATAATAGAACCAGTGAAATAACCCTCCCCCTCTTAGTTTTTTAATCTTTACTATATGTTGGACATTTACTAAGTTCTTTACATACTTTTCTTACTTAATTTGGACCCCGAAGGTAGACACTTGATCATTCTGGGTGATATGAGGAAACAGCCACTGAGAGACATCACATGCCCAAGATCACACAGCTAACAAGGGTTAAGGTGTGCACCCAAGGTCAGAGGTTTCTGATGAGGCCCAATGCCTGCTCTTCACCACAACTGGTTTTGAATCTGCTGTCTTCCTCACACTTGTTTTGTTCCTTTCCCCACAACTTGTTGATACTGTTTGTGCTCTTCCCAGCCCCACTTAAGGCCTTTCTCCCTGATGCAGTATCTACTCATTTTATGCTAGTTTCATCCATTCCTCTCCTCCATAGCACTTAACTATCTTTAACTGTCTCCTGGGACTTAACTTTCAGTTGTTTTTAATTGATACTTAATGTAGCATGCACTATTATTTTTTAAAAGAGATTAATGTTTTACTTTTATATCATTCCCCAAAAGGCTTAAGAACGGGCCATAGTGTTACACAATTGTTTCCAGAATGGATTTTGGAATATACTTTGATGTAGTATAGAAAGCTTCTGGTTTTCCACAGAAACAGGAAATTCTGGATCTCTTTTCATCAGTACTGTATGAATGTGTTACTCAGGAGACCCCAGAGATGTTGCCTGCATACATAGCAATGGATCAGCTGTGGTCCCAAAAATCTATTCCTGTATTTTAAGTAACCTACTGAATAGTGCAATGAAGCTACCTATGTGTTTTTCCTTTTAGTTTCTCATAAATTTAAAGACAGAAACTCTATCAAAGTTGAAAGCTCTGTATGTCTGTGTATCCAAAAAGTTTGGGCTTTATGATGACATGGTGCCCCTTGTAGGGGTTGTCTTTGTCTAGCACTGTTTTCATCCCTCCTTCTGTCCTCGTCCCCTGACTCTGCCCCTCTCTCTTGTATTCTTGTGTGGTCTCTTACCTCCCCCTGACAAAGCCACTTTGTGGAAAAAAACTGCAGATGCACAGTAAGTGAACAAATAGTGCCCTAATGATGGCAGTGCTATGAAGTTATACCTACACAATTAAGCTTGCGAGAGGTTGTAGAATCAGTTGACAGTGATTTAGGGAAATGGAGTTCATTTTTAAATCTCTCTTGTTATTTCTATTTTAAATGAGCCTAAAAGGAATAATGTTGAAAATGTATTCACTTTAGGTTATTAGTAATACATGTAGCTTTTTAATAAACCAAATTTCTCCAGATCCAAAATTACAGTTAAGCTGTCAGTAGTTTCCTATCCTGGCTAAAATTTTTTGGGGAATCTTAACAATACAAATCTTCAAGTCCCATATTATATCTACTGAATCAGAATTCCTGAGATGAGATCCATAGTTTATAGTTTTAAATGTCTCTTTAAGCGAATATGATATAATGAGTTCATAGGTCAGCATTTGAGACTCAATGTGTAAAGGGAAGAAATAATTTCTGTTGGTAAAAGATCTGTTGGAAAACTGAGCGGGGAAATACATTTAGATAGGAGGCAACTTTCCAAAACCTGAAAACCTCACATGTTAAGTAACATTCTTATCTGAATAAAAGCCAAGTTCCAATATAACCAGGTAGGTCACAATGTTGTTAATCTTTTGGAATCTACCCTTTTTTGATTAAAAAGTAGGAATGTGTGGTATTCATGTTGGCACTGCTTCTCACAGTGCTTCTTTGTGTAGCAGTCAAGTAATGAGTTGTGTTTTTCAGTTGCTGGCCCCTATCCTGGTAGACGTGGGCAGGTCTCTGGATAAACATCCCCTCTGGTTGTAGCTATGGTGCCTTTTTAGATGGATCTTAGGGGTACTATCCTCAGTAGTATTGTTTTTGCCTTCTTCCCCAGGAGATCCCTGTCCTGAGCCTTGCCATGTCATTGAATGCTAAGCTTCCCAGAGGTGACTGGCTGTAGGCCTACTGGATATTGATTATTCAGAGCATTTGAGCCAAGAATGAGCTCATTTGCCTTTGTTGGTTTTACCTGAAAGTTGCTCACATGGAGGTTTTACTGAAGAAGGTGTGCCACGTACCCATACATGAGCCCAGTGGAGGGCTCTTGTGTGAGGCAGATGCATCAAAACACGAAGCCCCTTCACCCCTGCCCTTTATTGATGCTATGAGCCACATTTAAAAGTCAAAACTCTGAGGAAGTGAAACTTAGAACACTTCACTTTTGCACTAAATGGATCGTTGTTTTTCTTTCCTCTTCAAGGCTATAAGAAGACTTGGAAGAAGAGGAATGTCTGAGACTTCTGAACTTTGGCAGACACAGTTGGTGTTAGAGTTCTTCAGCTCCTGAAGCCACCAGGAGTGGGTATATAACCACCCTAAGCGGGGGCTCTTCATAAACTCTGAATTCCTCCCTGTTGTGAAGTGCACAATAGACAACACCTTGGACCACTTGCTACAAGGTAGTAATGGCATTTTGCCCTTCTGCTTTAAGATACGCTGAACTCAGGCTTTTCTCTTGCAACCTGTTTTGTTTTGTTTTTTTCCATTAATAATGAATTCTGAGTATAAGCCAGAATGACCATAGACTTAATGTTTCCACTTAGGTGAATCAGATCCTGATTATCTACATACTTCAGCTTTACAAAAGTACACGCAGTCCTGCTTTATGAGCCATGCAGAGAATACATATAGTGCCTCTGATACCCCTTAACTCTTAGGACCTTGTTTTATCTTCCCCAGCATTAGATCTTGTTTCCTTTCCAAAGCCCTGTCTCATGTTTCTTAGGGGTGTGTCCTGGTGCCTACTTGAGGCCAGCAGCCATTTTCTCCCTGTTTTTATACCTCCCCCATGTATACTTAGAACTTTTCGTGTGCTTATTGAATGAAGTCTTGTTGTACCAGCTCTGTAAGTCCATTAGTGAGAACTTGAGAATCATGTAGCAGCGGTCTTTTATCAGTAGATATATTGACTTGTGATTGTGAGGAAATTGTAAAGTTACTCGTCATAGTGTGTCAGTGATCCCTGATACACATTAGATAAATGATGAGGCCTTTTGACTTACAGAAACGTATCTTCCATGTTAATGTGTGCCTGAAATTGATTTTCAGTAGTCAACTCCTTAATCTTTTCAGTTCATTTAATTTCTTCCAATAAACATCTAACAACAACATGCTTTGGGTAAATACTAATGCTATAGTATTGTCAATAGTAACATTTTTTGCTTGATTCTTTAAAGCTGTTAGAAATCAGTAGAGTTTGAATATAGTTCAGTTAAAAATACTCATCTGTTGCCGGGCATGGTGGCTCACACTGTGAGTACTTTGGGAGGCTGAGGTGAGAGGATTGCCTGAGCCCAAGGGTTTGAGACCAGTCTGGTAACTTGGTGGCACCTGTCTCTACAATAAATAAAAAAATTAGCTGGGCATGATGGTGCATGCCTGTAGTTCCAGCTACTTGGAAGCAGAAGGATCACCTGAGCCTAGCAGATCGAGGACGCGGTGGCTGTGAGCATTCCACTCTAGCCTGGGCAAATGGTGAGACTTGGACTCAAAAAAAAAAAAAAAAGTCATCTGTAATACCACGAGATAAATTTCTGAAAAAAATTAGGTTGTAACCCATATTATTAGGGATATACTTGCAAAGTAGCGATTTTCTTCCCTTTTTAAATTTTATTTTAAAGATGTATGTACAATTCAGAATTAGACATACAAGTGGCAATCATGCAGGTGAAGTTCGGGCTTCCCTTTGGTTTCCATTTTGCCTGGTTTGAAATCAGGTACCCTTATTGATATTGTGCCCCACTCCCCACTCCAGCAGTGTTTTTCAAACTTTCGGTGTATATATTTAAGAGCTGCATTCAAGCTGTCATTGCCTTTTGCGCTTTAAAAGAGTACGTAGTTTTAAAACTCTTTTTATAGTCATTTTTATTCTCATTTTGGGGGGAAAATGTAAGTTATTTCATAGGTTATGATATTTTGTTTTTATTCAGTTTAGCACTTCATCACCTATAGCAGACCTTTGATACTGATAATAATATGTTCTTAAATCTTTGCAGATTCAGCCGACTCGGCGCTCAGTTTATAATCCCGCGTTTTGGGGGGAGGCTGAGGTGAGTGAATTGCCTGAGCCCGCGGTTTAGAGACCCACCTGGGCAATGTGGCCAGACCTCATCTCTTCAATAAATCAAAAAATTAGCCGGGCGTGGTAGAGCGCGCCTGTAGTTCCAGCTACCGGGAAGGCAGAGGGTGGAGGATCACTGGAGCCCAGCAGGTTGAGGCTGCTGTGGCCAGGAGTGTGCCACACTGCACTCCAGTTTGGGCGACAGAGTGAGACTCCAACTCAAAAAAATAAAACAAAACAAAATCTTTGCAGATTCTCTGATTTGATAACTTCACATAATCTAATAAAACTTTGACAGTGACTGGAAAATTCTCTAAAACAGTGTTCTGAGTTGTCTTGTTGCTTTTTGGTGCATTTAAGCACTGCTCTGAGCCTCTGCCAGATTTGACTTGCCACTCTGGTTTACCAAAAATGTGTGTTTTCTAGTGGAGAATTATCACTGTTTAAAAAACTCTTAAAAATATGAAACGACCTTCCTCTTTTTTTTTTTTTGAGTTGGAGTCTCACTTTCTTGCCCAGGCTGGAGTGCAGCGGCACACTCATGGCCACTGCAGCCTTGACCTTCTGGGCTCAGTTGATCTTTTCTCCTCAGCCTTCCAAGTAGCTGGAACTACAGGCACGTGCCACCAAGCCCAGGCAATGTTTTGATTTACTGTAGAGACGAGGGAGGTTTCACCAAGTTGTGAGGCTGGTCTCAAACCCTGGGCTCAGGCAGTCCTCTCATCTCAGCCTCCCAAAGTGCTGGGATTACAGGCGTGAGCTACTGCATTTAGCTAATTTATGATCTCTTATCCCGAGGAAAAGGAAAAACTAAAAAAGGTAAAATATATATGGTCTTCCCTTTCACAAGTACTAGCAGTTGGCTTTGGGCAAAGAACAGCAAATAAGTGAAAATGTAGAACCTGTATGTCAGCATTGGAAGGTATCATTCATGTTTGTGTGTCGCTAACATCACAAATGTGGATGTGGGCTTTTAGGATTACTCACTAATAATCCAAATTATACTCACTAAATCTGAAAATGCGGCAGATATATCATACTGTGCAGATGTCTTATGTATAGCTCCTCAATTAAGTTATAATATTAGGCAAAGAAGTGGGTTTTGAATTTAGGAACTTAAAAATTTTATTAACTTCTAAATATTTTGCTGTGGGAAATTTAAAAGACATATAAAGTAAATAGAGTAGTATAGTAAACCCCACCACTGAGTTTCAGTCATTGTCAGCATCCTGACATTCTTGTGTCATCTGTACCCTCACCCCTGCCATGCCCCTGCCACACTTGTATCATCTGTACCCTCACCCCTGCCACACTTATTTTCTAAATTGGGCTCTTTTACTTTCTCACCAGCAGTGGGAGGCAGGGCCATTTGTGGCGTTGTCTTTTTAACTTTAGACAGTCTAGGGAATAGATCGGTGTGTCATTGTAGCTTTAACTTGCATTTCCTTGATGACTGATAATAATATTTATTAACTTCTTTTGTGTGTGCCTATTGGCTATTCATATTCCCTTATGTAGTATCTCTTAGAAGTTGTTATTCATTTTTAAAATTGGTTGTCTGACCACAAGTTCTTTGTCAGATATGTCTGCAAATATTTTCTCCTACTGTATGCCTTGCCTATTCATTTTCTTAAGTCTGTTTGATTAACAGAAGTTGTAGATTTTTTTTCTTGAGTTGGCGTCTCACTCCGTGGCCCCGACTGGAGTGCAGTGGCACACTCCCAGCCACTGCAGCCTCGACCTGCTGGACTCCAGTGAGCCTCCCACCTCAGCCTTCCAAGTAGCTGGAACTACAGGCACGTGCTACCACACTGGAGTAATTTTTGACTTATTGTAGAAATGAAGTCTCGCCAAGTTGCCCGGGCGGGTCTCGAACCTTGCGGGCTCAGGCAGTCCACTTACCTCAGCCTCCCAAAGCGCTGGGATTACAAGCTGAGCCAGAGATTGAAGATTTTAATAAAGTCTAATTTATCTTTTTTTTTCTTTTCTTAGTTATAGGGTCTCAATTTCTTGCCCGGGCCTGGAGTACAGTGGCACAATCACAGCTCACTGTAACTTTGAACTCCTGGGCTCAAATGATTCTTCCACCTCAGCCCCCTGAGTAGCTGGGAGGATATATAGACATACATCACCATGCATGGCTAATTTATTTGTATTTTTGTATGAGTATCTCATTATGTTGCCTAGGCTGTCTCAAACACCTGGCCTCCTTCGCCTCCCGAATCTCTGGTGTTACAGGTGTGAGCCACAGTGCCCAACTCTAACATTGATTGTTAATATGATTATTAAAAATAAATTAATGTTGTGCCCATTTATTATTTTTAATTAACTTTAAATTTTTTTATTTTAAAGATGTGGGGTACAATTGTGGGTTAGGTGTACAAATGTTCATTATGCAGATACCCTTGTTGATGAGGTGTGCCCCCTCCCCTGGCAGTTTCCCTCAACTGCCAGTTCCACTCCCCCCTCCCCTGGCAGTTACCCACTACTGCCAGTCCCTTTCTTACAGTATTATGATAATTGCTCAAGACCCACTTATGAGTAAGGACGTATGGTACTCTGTTCTTTGTTTTTGTGGTAGATCATTAGTATGATAGACTCTAAATTCGTCCAAGTTGTTGTATAGTCCATATGTTTGTCCTTCTTTATGGCTGCATAATACTCCATTGTGTATATGTACCACAATTTTTTTTATCCAGTCCAGTTTCAGTGGGCAGCACGGTTGGTTCCATGTTACTATTGTGAATAGCTGTACCCCCTTCTAATATTAATTTCAAAAAATGTTTATTGCTTTCTGAGTGCTGTCTAAGAAATTATTCCTCCCCCCCAGATCATAAAGATTTTTGAAAAAATGTTTTTTCTTAAAAAGCTTTATGGTTTAAGGTTTTACATTCAGTTTGTGATTTATCTCATTAATTTTTTGTGATGTGAGGTAAGAGTTGAGGTTCTTTTTTTAAATGTTAGATACATAGTTTTTTTCTGGACCATTTATGATTTGTGGAAAAGATATGTCAGTCTGATTTACTTGTGTTAGGGTCTTTGTTAAAGATCAGTTGACTATAGCTTTGTGTGTGTCTGGAATTGGTTCTGTTGATCTAGTTATCTGCCCTCATGCCAGTGCCACACTGGCTTAATTACTGGTAATAAGTTGATTTTGAAATCAGGCAGTGTAAGTACTTCTGCTAAAGCAGTGTGTGGAGGGGCATTTATAGCACTAAATGCTTACAATATAAAAGAGGAACGGTCTCAAATCAATAATTAAGTCCTTACCTCAAGAAATTAGAGGAAGAAAAGCAAAATAAACCCAGAGCAAGCAAATAAAAGCAGAAACCAATGAAACGGAAAACAAAAACAGATGAGAAAATCAGTAAAACAAGCTAGCAGGCACGAGAACGTCACTGAAGAAAAACCATGACTCACCTGCTCCTTCTGAGGAGCTCTTCAAAGAAGTATCTCTTCTTGCTTCCTTGAATCTGTCTCCCTTTGCTGCCTTCCCATGCCCTTGAAGTTTCCACTCCCAGTAGACTGACATCCTCAATGTTGTGTTCAGTGGACTCTAGTTTTCATCTCACTCTATCTCATTAATATCGAGACTCTTAACGGCTTCTTTCTTCTTTAAATGGACTTCCTTGACTTCTCTGACAGCACATTATCCCAATTTGTTTTTTTTTTTTAAATTATGTTTTAGTTTTTGTCACTACTTCATTCTCATTCTTTCGCTTACCCTTTGGGAGTCAACCTTGTTCCTTGTTCCTTCCTCTCCTTCCCCTCTCCTCCTCTGCAATAGCCAGTCGTTTACCAAAAGTCTTTTTCAGCTCTAACTCATAAAGATTTCGTGAATCTGCCCACATTTTATTACTTCTACCTAGAAGAAAGCTGCTTTGTGCGTGAATCACTGTTATAGCCTCCTAAATAGTCTTTTTATTCTCCTCTCCCTTCTAATTATCTCTAGTCAACTGACAGAGTGCGCTTTAAAAAATAAACTGCTCTAACACTCCTGCTTAAAACTTTTCAAAGGTGTCTGATTCAATTGTGAAAAGAATCCTTAGTGTGTGCCCAGAACTTGCATGACCTGCAAGGCACCTGCTCCCCTCTACAGCCTCTTTTTTTACTACTTTTTCCTCATAAACTCTGCTTCAACCACCTAGGCCCCTTCCAATTCCCCCAGAAGCAGTGAGCTCCTTTTTACCAGAAGGCTATTGAAATGTGCTGTTTTCTCTCTTTTTTCATCTGCCCAACTCCTATTTAACCACGAAGCCTCACTTTAAATGCCCTTTTTCATAGGCATTCTTAGACCCCTCTTCCTCTGGCAGCTTCCTTCATCTTTAGTGTGAGCTTGCTCACACGTACTCATATTCTCTCTTTCTCTCTCAATTTCTCTTTCTCTGTCAAAATGTTCTTGTCCTTAAATAATAAGGATACTAATAAACATATTGTTGTAAGTTCACAGGTAAGGCAGGTTTAAGCATCATCTTGCTCCTGTGGCTTCAACTCCACTTCTCTGAGGTTTCATCAGTTACATTTTGTGCCACAACTTTATCCTCAGAGTGCTTATTTCTCATGGTAATAAAATGTCTAGCAGTTTTTCACCTCATGCTTCACATGGTGCCTGGAGGGAGAATAGAGCTGCTTCTAGAAGCTTTGCCATGAAAATGATGAAATCTGTTTCCCAGATTCCTCTTGCAATCATGTCATCACGCATCTCCTCATGTCTCTGGCTCAAGCTGCATCTCACGCACATTCCTCAATCCATCCCTGTGGCAGAGACAAATGTTTCTTAGGTCTGCGTTTCCCTGAACTAACTGTGTCAGGGGGATGGGGCTGCCTTGTTTGCCCAAGACCCGTGGTTCTCCAAGTGTGTGTATTGGAGCAGCAGCAGCAGCATTACCATCACCCGGGAACATGTTAGAAATGCAGTTGTTTTGGCCCCACCCCAGACCTACTGAATCAGAAACGCTGCAGAGGGGCCCACCTGGCTGTGTTTTAACAAGCCTTCCAGGTGCTTCTGATACCCGTTCAAGTTTGAGACCCTTTGGCCAAGACGACTACTCAGGATCTAGTTCTACAGCTGAAGTTAGTCCCTCAAATGTTAGGGAAAGGTGATAAAATGGGTGTCTGGGGGCGACAGCCACAGTGACCAGTGCACCTTTGTGACACTGACCCCAGTTTGTAATTATGCATTTGTGTGTGTCATTATCTGTGTAATATTGCTTCCTTCACAACACTCTAAACTACAATGACAGGCACTCAGTCTAGTTCACCATAATAGCCTCAATACTCAGTGTCGTACTGGCCTGATATATACTAAGTGCTTGATAAGTTCTTGATGAAAAAGTAATACAAGTAAGGTATTTCTTGGGCCTCTCCATTCTGTCATCAGTTGATTCAGTCCGTTTGTGTTTCTCGCTTAGCTGGGGGTGATACGTGTGTGCATGCCTACCTCAGCGGGCAGCCCTTTGAGAATCTCAGCTGAGCATGCTGGCCTGCTTCCTGGTCTACCACTCCGTGCCAGCACCAGGGCACCTGCCATCCATAGGACTAGAAGGTAATTACATAGAAATCCTCTTTTAGTACTTCTGTTACTGACCTATCTTGTGTTTTTAGTTTTTTAGTAGGAAGTGTTTGTGGTTAGTTACTTTCTGTAGTTAAACTTTCGTCTTCACTGATGTTTCAGTGTCGACGTTGAGAACCTTTTTAGTGAAGAAAAATTATTAATTTTACATATGAATGAACTTTCATTAACATTCAGAAAAGGATGAATTCTTTTTCACAGAGCCCCAAACACCTGCCTGTACCATAAATATTCACATTATTCTTCCCTTACTAATTTATTTTTTTTGGAGTCAGGGTCTGACTCTGTCACCTAGGCTGGCATCATCATACCTCATGATGGCCTTGAACTTCTCTGAGCTCCCCCTCAGCCGTCCAAGTAGCTAGGACTAAAGGTACATACCATCACACCTGGCTAATTATTAAATTTTTTGTAGAGATGGAGTCCCACTATATTGTACGGGCTGGTCTTAAACTCCTGGCCTCAAGTGACTTGCCCTTCTTGGCCTCCAAAAGTGATGGGACTACATGTGTGAGCCATCATGCCTGGCTAGACCGATTTGTGTGTGTGTGTGTGTGTGTGTGTGTGTGTGTGTGTGCGCGTGTGTCAGAGTTTCACTCTCACCCAGGCTGGAGTGCAGTGGCATACTCATGGCCACCACAGCCTCAACCTACTGAGCTTAGGCTATCCTTCTGCCTCAGCCTTCCAAGTAACTGGAACTACAGGTGTGCACTTCCACGCCCAGCTAATTTTTTTTTTTTTAATTTATTGTAGAGACAAGGTTTTGCCATGTTGCCCAGGCTGAGATTACAGATGTGAGTTACAAAGTGCAGAGATTACAGATGTGAACCACTTTGCCTGGCCTAATTTTTTTTATTAATATTATTTTTCTGTATTTTTTGTTTTTAGTTGGTTATTTTTAATCATATATTATCTTAATTTCTAATTTTATATTTAACAGGTACCTAATTTTGTGTTTAAATTTTTTTATAATAGAGTTTTAAAAATTAAGTAATATTAGCACCTGACTGTATTTTTCTGAGTATAGAAACAGATACAAAATTTGTCCAGTAAACTGAATAATAAAATATAATGAATTCTAAGCACCCTTACTTATTCACAAAACTTTAAAATTGCTGCCTCTTAGCTGGGCTCGGTAGCTCAGCCTGTAATCCCGCGCTTTGGGAGGCTGAGGTGAGTGGTTTGCCTGAGCCCATGGGTTCAAGACCCTCCGGCAACTTGGGGAGACCTCATCTCTACAATAAGTCAAAAAATTAGCTGGGCGTAGTAGCGTGCACCTGTAGTTCCAGCTACTTGGAAGGCTGAGGGCTGAAGGATTGCCGGAACCCAGCAGGTTGAGGCTGCGGTGACTGGGAGCGTGCCACTCCAATCTGGGCGACAGAGTGAGACTCCAACTCAAAAATAAAAACAAACAAATAAATAAAAATAAATAAAGTTGCTGCTTCTTAATTGAGGGTGAAGAAATATTTTTGAGGACAAAGGTTATTCTGTTTAATTATTTAAATTTTAAGTTTAATGACATTATTAGTTTATTGCTATTTTTGGAAATCTCATACAAAAATGTACTATCTAGAGACTTGTAGTTATGACCATGGTAGAATTGCTTGTGTTATGTTAACTCTTCCACAGAAACAAATATAAAAACTAGACAAAGTACATAAAATAGCTTCCTGAAATTGGTAGCAGTCATAGTGGCAGGACTTGATTGAGAGGCAACAAACTATAAGAGAAGGGAGGTACAATGGGGAGAGCTCTATATTTACTCTGGCTTTTCCCTGGAAGGCATCTGCCTGCTCTCATCATAAGAAGTAGAGTCCCAGCGAAAAGCAGCAGTGCTGCTGGACAGAGGAGTCAAAGGTTGGGTTTATGATTGTCTAAGAGTCTAGAACCTGAGGAGCGAAGTCCCAGACAGGTGGAACCTGGTGCACTTTTCCCTTGAGGCATTGACCAAATTTTAACCTGTATATACACAGGATAAGGCTAACACTTGAGGAGATCTAGCAGAAACCAGAAGGCTAAGAATGCGACCAGAAGTGTCAGCAGCAGCAGCAGCATAGTGGCAAGGAAACAAAGGGTGGAGTCCAAAGCCTTTGAGGTAAAGTGTCTCTAGTAAGCATCCAGCTGATCAGGGGAAACAACAGCAGGACCAAGCCCTTATGAGTAAAGTAAAACGGAGCAGACCGGACCTAAAATTAGCCTAGAGCAGAACTTAGGAGATCTGCTTGCTTTCTATTCACCTAATAGAAGAAAACTTAACCTTCACAGGAGAAATAAAACATATCCAGAGCCGCTATAACTTTTAATAGATAAGATTCACTGTTGAATCAAAAATTATAAGACATAACAAGAAAAAATATAACAGAAACAGACCTATATATGATCCAGATACTGGAGTTATCAGTCTGGGACTTAAAATAATGATGATTGATATTTCCAAGAAAATAGAGGGGAGAATAGAGAATTTCTGCAGAAACTTGGAATTGAAAAAGTGTTAAATGGAAATTCTAGAACTGAAAAATATAATACCTGAAATTAAGACTTCAGTATTTGCATTATTTGCAAGGACATTAAAACAGTTACAACTATTCTGCGTCTCAAGAAATTATGAGACATTGAGGATATAAAGAGACTAATTGAACTTTTAAAGGTAAAAACTGCAATGTCTGAGATGAAGAAATACACTGAGTGGGTGATGGCATAGTAGACATTACAGACTTTAAAAAAATACTGAGCTTGAAGACATAGCTTGGATAGTAGAAACTATACAAAATAAAATGCAGAAAGAAAAATAATTTTTTTTTTGAGTTGGAGTCTCACTCTGTCGCCCAGACTGGAGTGCGGTGGGCGCTCCCAGCCACTGCAGCCTCAACCTGCTGGGCTATGGCGATCCTTCCACCTCAGCCTTCCAAGTAGCCGAAATTACAGGCGTGCGCTACCACGCCCGGCTAATTTTTTGATTTATTGTAGAGATGAGGTCTCTCTAAGTTGCCCAGGTGGGTCTTGAATCTGCGAGCTCAGGCAATCCACTCACCTCGGCCTCCCAAAGTGTGGGATTACAGGCTGAGCCACCGAGCCAGGCCAAGAAAAATAATTTTTTTAAAAATGAGACCCACCTGGGTGGCGAGACCTCATCTCTACAATAAATTAAAAAATCAGCCGGGCGTGGTAGTGCATGCCTGTAATTCCGACTACTTGGAAGGCTGAGGTGGAATGATCACCAGAGCCCAGTAGGTCGAGGCTGCGGTGGCCGGGAGCGGCCACTATACTCCACTCTGGGTGACAGAGTGAGACTCCAACTCAAAAAAAAAAAAAAGAACAGAGCACTCGAAGTGTGATAACCTGTGAGACTTTATTCAAGTGCTTTACTTATATATAATTGAAGTTCCTGAACAAGAGGATAGAAATGGAACAGAAAAAATAGTTGAATAAATAATGATTTTATTTTTTTTTTGAGTTGGAGTCTCACTCTGTCACCCAGACTGGAGTGCAGTGACCGCTCCCGGCCACTGCAGCCTTGATCTGCTGGACTCCGGCGATCCTTCTGCCTCAGCCTTCCAAATAGCCGGAATTACAGGCATGTGCTACCACGCCCAGCTGATTTTTTGATTTATTGTAGAGATGAGGTCTGGCTGCCCAGGCGGGTCTCGAACCTGCGGGCTCAGGCAATCCAATAAATAATGATTGGAACATTTTCCATCAGCCTGAGGCACATGAAGAAGATGATAGCAAGGCACATTATAGTCAAATTGCTAAAAACTGGTGATAAAAAGTTTTAAAAGCAGTCAGGGGAAAAGAGCATGTTACAAAAGAAACAAAAATAGAGTCACAGCATAGTTCTCCTAGGAACGGTGCAAGTGAGAAGTTAGTGGAGAAATATTCTTCAAGCACTCAAAGAACAATTTGTCTGTTAGAATTTGTCTGTGTCAGTCATGGTGGCTCATGCCTATAATCCCAGCACTCTGGGAGGATCACTTGAGGCCAGGAGTTTGAGACTAGCTTGGGCAGCACACCAAGACTGTGTCTACCAAACTTAGTCAGGCATAGTAGCATGTACCTGTAGTCAGTTCCAGCTACTTGGGAGGCTGAGATGGGAGGATCATTTGAGCCTAGGAGTTTGAAGCTACAGTGTACTATGATCATACCACTGTATTCCAGCCTGTGTGACGGAGCCAGATCTTGTCTCTAGAAATTAAAAAATTAAAAAAAAAATCATACCCTGCAAAAATGTCTTTCACAAGTGACCATGAAGTAAAGCCATTTCAGATACACAAAAGATGAAAGAATTAGTGACTTATACCGCTGGAATTGTTATGGTATCCTCCAGGACACTATGTGGATGGAAATGTGAATCTACATAAATGAATGAGGAGCATTGGAAATGGTAACTACATGAATAATACACAGGGTTTGTTTTTAACAAACCTCAAAAAAACACAAAACACTTGACTGTATACAAATAATAAGGCACGATGGGATTTTTAGCATGTGTAAAAGTAGAACTGACAACAGTAGTTCCGAGGTCAGGAGGGAAGGGTGGAGGTACTGGTGTGAGGCTTTTGTGCTACTGTGAAGTGATATAATTTTACTTGAAGATAGTCTGTGACAAAGAAGTTTACGATAAATCCTAAAGCAATCACTAAAACAAGAGAACAGTGCTATAAAAGCTAAGAAACCGGCCGGGCTTGGTGGCTCAGCCTGTAATTCCAGTACTTTGGGAGGCCAAGGCGAGTGGATTGCCTAAGCCCACAGGTTTGTCTCTACAATAAATAAAAAATATTAGCAGGGTATGGTAGCCCATGCCTGTAGTTCCGGCTACTTGGAAGGCTGAGGCGAGAGGATCACCTGAGCACAGCAGGTCGAGGCTGTGGTGGCTGGGAGCGTGCTACTGCACTCCAGTCTGGGCGACAGAGTGAGATCCTAAAGCCCCCCCCCCCAAAAAGCTAAGAAGCCAACAAAGCAACTACAGTGAGTCATAAAAAATAATCCAAGACTGTGTGCCGCAGCTCAAGCCTGTGAGCCAGCACTTTGGGAGGCCAAGGTGAGAGGATTGCCTGAGCCCATAGGTTCCTGAACAACCTGGGCAATTTAGCGAGACCTCATCTCTACAATAAATCAAAAAATTAGCCGGGTGTGGCAGCACACGCCTGTAGTTCCGCACTTGGAAGGCTGAGGTGGAAGGATCACCTGAACTCAGCAGATGGATGCTGGGGTGGCAGTGAGCATACCACTGCACCCCAGCCTGGGCTGCAGAGTGACTCAATTCAAAAAAAAAAAAAAAAAAATCCAAACCCCCAAAGAAATAAAGAGGAAAAGAGGGAAGAGACAAAATAAATAGAAAACAAACAGCAAGATGATGGATTCATCTTTTAAAATGACTTTAAACATATATTTTTATTTTTTATTTTATTTTGTTTTTGAGTTGAAGTTTCACTGTCACCCAGGAGGGAGTGCAGTGGCACAATTACAGCTCACCAATCTTGACCTTCTAGGCTCAGGTGCTCTTTCCACTTCAGCCTCCTGAGTATCTGGAATTACAGGCCTGCACCACCACACCTGGGTAATTGTTATTTTTTTTTGTAGAGTTAAGGTCTTCCTGTGATGCCTAGGCTGGTCTCCTACTCCTGAGCTCAAGCAATCCTCATGCCTTGCCTCCCTAAGTGCTGGAATTACAGGTGTGAGCCACTGTACCTAGCTAAACATAAATGGTTTTTTAGATTTTGCAGCATGTCAGAATGTTGGAGTTGTTTTCATATCTTCTTGTGTGTATGTGTTCTCTGTGCTTGGATTTATGCGAGGTCTGGGGAACACTGTGGAGTAAAAATTAAATAGGAAATCTGTCTTAATTTCTGTTGAGGTCTATTGAACCCATTTCATTCACAGCTAAGTGGCAGAGGCCGATACAAGGAAATAGGATTAATTGCCCTCTTCATATTCTGTGCAGCAGTAGAATTCATGTTAGAAAACCAGTCTACCATATCTGCCCATCGGAAACAGAAGTTAAGAGTAACAGCACAGTTTTCCTAAGAACAATGAAAATGAGAAGTTAGTAGAGAAATATCCATGAAAGACTCAAAGAAAAACTGCACCCCTCTGTGCCTGTGTGTCTGCTAGGATCCTTGCTATGGCTTGGAGAGTCATATATGTATATATATTTGGACTGGGTTAAGGACGTTGTGGATGGTTGTGTGTGGTGGGATGGAAGTGAAACGGAAAATAATCCTTAATAGAATTTTAGGTAAAACACTTAGGTATCACTTCCTTTTGGTATCGTGGTTCTTGACCTTAGCTGCACATCAGATCACTTGGGCAGCTTTCCAAACTCCACGTGCCCAAGCTGAACTCCAGATGAAACCTTCGTAATCCCTATGGGACCTAGGTTGGAAATCATTGCTTCTTAGAGGAAGAGGCATTAGATCAACCTTTCTGTTACTTATTCTCAGTCTGTGTTCTTTTTTAAGGTAAAGTACTGAGTTCATGGATTAGGAATTAAAGAACAGTTGATCCTTGACTAACATGGTGTTTAGGGGCACCATCCCTTGCAGTCAAAAACCCACATATAACTTTTGACTTCCCTAAAACTTTACTAACAACCGACTGTTGATAACATAAACAACCTTACTGATAACATAAACAGTTGATATTTTATATGCTACATGTATTATATACTGTATTCTTATGATGAATGAAGCTAGAGAAACAAAAATGTTATTAAGAAAGTCATAAAGAAATTTACTATTCATTAAGTGGAAGTAGATCATCACGATAGTCTTTGTCTTCATCATCTTTTTGTCTAGTGGACAGAGAAAAAGAAGGAAGAGGCGGTTGGTTTGTCTCAGGGTGGCAGAGGTGGAAGAGGTAGAAAGGGAGGCAGGAGAGGCAGGCACACTTGGTATCACTTTTAGTTTTAAAGGTCCACATATAAGTGAACCTGCACAGTTCAAATCCATGTTGTTCGAGGGTCAACTGTATTGGAGCCAGTAAAACATCACTTCAATGATAATTGAAGGGAGACAGACACATTTACTAATTATGTTTAAATAATGTATTTATGACTAAACAATATTAGTAGTTTCACATGAGTTATAGGTCACTTTCTGAAATACAGAATGGATAAGTTTTATCAAGTCATATATAGGTTGAATATTCTTAATTTGAAATCCGAAATGTTCCAAAATGTGAAATTTTCTGAGCACCAACATAATACCAAGAAGAAATGTTCACTGGAGCATTTCAGATTTTGGAATTTCGATTAGGGATGCTCAACCTGTAGGTTGTAATGCAAATATTCCAAAGTCTGAAAAATCCAAAATCCAAGCCACTTTTCATCCCAAGCATTTTGGATAAGGGATGTGCAACCTGTATTAGAGTGCCTTAGGAAAATTCATGATTTAAATACTGTCTTTGGGTAATCGTTTTCAGAGCAGAGAATGCCTGCTGTAAACATGATTGTGTTTCTGAAGCTTCCTTGAAAGGAGATGTATGACTGAATTTATTTAGAGATGTAACCTTTCCCCCATTTCTATTTCTTTAGGGAGCACGAGCTTTGCTGAACTACTCTTCAAATTTAAACAGCTGAAAATGCCAGTGCGAGCTTTGCTAAGATTGGCTCCTTTGCTTCTTGGAAATCCACAGCCAATGGTAATGTGACCATGCTTGGTGGTAAACCTACTTTGAAACATCACTTCTGCACAAAAACATGACCAAACATTAAAGTGAAAGTTTTATAATATAATTAGGAAGACATGAGCTGCATAAATCTTAATGTACTTTAAAATCGATGTGTTTTAAATCTTCCACAGAATCTGTTGCTGTCACCATTAACATGGTATGATATGTAAAAGTGAGTTAAAATTTACTTTTGTAAGTAAAGTTTTTTGGTTTGTTTTCAAAACTCTTGATTATCGCTTTAGTTTTGGACTTAGAGAACATAGCTGTGGGGGCTGGAGTGTATATTGTTTTGTTTTGTTTTTTGAATCGAAGTCTCACTCTGTTACCCAGGATGGAGTGCAATGGCACATTCATGGCCACCGCAGCCTTGACTTGCTGGCCTCAGGTGATCTTTCCACCTCAGCCTTCCAAGTAGCTGGAACTATAGGCATGTACCACCACACCTTGCTAATTTTTTATTTGTTGTAGAGATGAGGTCTCACCGAGTTGCCCAGGCTGGTCTTGAACATCTGAGCTCAGGTAGTCCTCCCATCTCTGCCTCCCAGAATGCTAGGATTATAGGTATGAGCCACTGTACCCAGTTGGATATTTATTTTTTATTTTTTGTTTTTTTTTTGAGTTGGAGTCTCACTCTGTTGCCCAGACTGGAGTGCAGTGGCTGCTCCCGGCCACGGCAGCCTCGACCTGCTGGGCTCCAGCGATCCTTCTGCCTCAGCCTTCTGAGTAGCCGGAATTACAGGCATGCGCTACCACGCCCGGCTGATTTTTTGATTTATTGTAGAGATGAGGTCTCACTGCCCAGGCAGGTCTCGAACCCGTGGGCTCAGGCAATCCACTCACCTCAGCCTCCCAAAGGCGCGGGATTACAGGCTGAGCCACTGAGCCCGGCTGGATATTGATTTTTAAGATCTTTGAATTTTGATGGTAAAGGTGAAGTGACTGCTCAAAAATGCAAAGTTTTAAAAGAAGCTATATCATAAAGTTTTACTTCCTGTGACAACACAAGAGCTTTTAAAACGTTTCATAAGATGTCACAGTTGTCCTGTCTAAAATAAGTCTTTGTACTTCCTGAGGTAGTGCCAGACATTCTGATTGAACCATCACCCTAAACAGCAGGTGGAGATTGTTTTTTACCCTAGTGAACAGTTAGTTGCTCAGCATAAAGTGCTATGGACTGAATTGTGTCCTCCCAAACTTATGTGTGAAAGCCCTAACCCCAGTGTAACTGTATTTGGTGATAGGACTTTTGGGAGATTACTATGGTTAAATGAGGTCATCAGAAGGTGGGGCCTTAACTTGATATAATCAGTGGTCGTATAAGCAGAGGAAGAGAGAGATTTTTCTTTCTCTTTGCCATGTGAGGACACAATGAATAGGTGGCTGGCTGCATGCCAGGAAGAGAGCTGTCACCAGGAAGTGAAATTGGATGGCAACTTGATCTTGGTCTTCCAGCCCCCCAGAACTGTGAGAAAATAAATTTCTACTATAGAGGAGTCTTCAGAAATTGTGCTTTAAAATAAAACAAAAGTAGCCGGGCTCGGTGGCTCAGCCTGTAATCCCGCGCCTTTGGGAGGCTGAGGTGAGTGGATTGCCTGAGCCCGCGGGTTCGAGACCCGCCCGGGCAGCAAGACCTCATCTCTACAATAAATCAAAAAAAATAAATAAAATAAAATAAAACAAAAATCTATTTTTACCCAAGATTTAGAGAATGTACTTCTGTACTAGGGGTTTCTGGTCTCGATGCTGAAAGATATGAGCATAGAGACATCTCTAGCTTCAAACTGCCAGTACAGGAGGTAGAACACTTTCTACTGTCTAGATTCTGATGTGTGTCCTGTGCTTCCTGAGTGGACTGTGGGACCATCAACTAGTAGAAGCTGCAGTATCTTTATCCACTGATTTCGCATTTCTTCCACATCCTCAACCGTGGTGTTTAACTTTAAAAATAAAAATTAGAGCAAATAGAAACGTTTCCATTGACATTTTGGCAAAAACCCATGTGACATTTGCCTCTGCAGAGGGACTTACACCTGGAAGCAGGGCGGCTCTCTCCAGACCTCAGGGTTCCATCTGCATAACTGCCTGAGGTCTTGCTCCTTCCTGGATGGGAAGCATCAGCAAGATGGGGCTGACATAAGGGGGAAGTGCACATCCTTTTGCACTTAAACAGTTTTTCTTCTAATTAAAAATAAATTTAACGGTAGGTTATGAAAATTCCATTTGAATCAAGATTTAAAGAATTCAATATCCAGGCAATTTGGTGTCTTCACCCTTGGTTGCTTATGGATATATGCTTTTTTCCTGAATAAACAATGACTGGAGAGACGTTTAGTTATTTGCACAAATAATAACTCCATATATGAGGGAGAATTCTTTAGAATGTTGTCAATAAAAGCAAATATCAAGCTTTAAAGGGGGCAGAATAAAAGACTGCAGACGAATTGGAAACAGCATTTGGGGGCCTTCTGAAAAGCTGCAAAGAAGCGACTCTGGGCTGTCTGGCCCAGGTAGGCATGCTAGGCTCATCAGATAAATCAGTTTCAGCTATTTATGAACTTTCCAAAATTTCTGAGGGTGCAGCTCTCACCGTCCAGAGCAGCCAGCCTTCTCAGAGCCACAGCAAGGGAAGGGCTGGCCCAGAAGTGGCAACATCACTTCCTGTTACAGCCACTGCTCCACCCCATGGTTGGGACCAGGAGGAGAGGCAGCCGCTGGTGAGGATGAATGATGCCTGTGATAGTAGGTCCCTTGCTTACTCCCAGTTCCCTCAGTCCATCTTTCCTATTTACACAGATAGAAATACATACCATTGCTTCCATGGACAGATATAATTAAAGATCTGTACAATTACACACACCCCCTCAGAGATTACTATTCTTTCCCCGGTGGATGCTGACATCTGTGCTCCTCCCTTAAGGGTCTTTCTAAAGAAGGGAAAGCAAAGACTTCACTGAGGTGCAGATCCCAGGCCCTAGCAGGGAACCACTGGTTTAAACCCAGAACCTCCCCTTTGGGCTGCCTAGTAGTACCCGAAAAAGACCACCTTCTTGCCCTTTGTCTAGAAGTCATCTTGCTCAACCTCTTACGATGAGGGTCATCTTCCAACCCAGAGGGTCTCCTGACATCCCAGAGGGAGCAAGAAGGTGGGGATCTTCTATCTCTCAGCTTGACGGTTGGGGACGAAGCCCGCTTGATGGGAGATTAACATGTCTACTGGGCAGTTTGGGCCACAGTAAGAACCAGGGTTTGGAGTAGAAGGCAGAGTGTGTGAAAGGACAAGGCAAAGCTTTGTTGCCTCTCCCATGCAAAGTTGGCTTTCCCCATCCTCATACTGACCAAACGTTGTGGGAAGTGTCTCACTGTGTGAGGATCTCCCCAGTTAAACTCTGAGAGAGGAGACAGGATCTGCTCACCTGTCTCCTTAGTGCACGCCATCTTCAACCCACAGTGGAAGCAGGCAGAGGTGAGGTCAGGGAGGTGGCTCCTCTGAAGGGTGTGTCTGACTGACTGACTGACTGTCAGCGCTTGTGGGCACCCCACAGGTTTGCATGCCAGTGTACAGAGGTTCCCAAGTGACAGTCTTTTCCTGCTTCCAAGGGGCAGTCCAGGTTCCCCCAACTCTGAAATACATTGGTTGCTTCTCATTACAGTCACAAACCACAGAGAAATCCTTTTTATTTTTTTTGAATGTATAATTTAGATTTTTATTTTATTTCTGATTCATGGATTTTGATAGATGAATATACTAAATTTTAAAATATGCAGAATATCCTATATTTTTAATATAGTATATTCACATATAATTTTAACAATAATAATGCTTATTCTGTTCTCAGTTTTAGCAGTTAGCTTTGCCATATATATACATATATATTTACTATTTTTATATCAATATTTTTAATTTTGATATTGTGGGGTACGGTTTAGGGTTAGGTATACAAATATGCTTCGTTCAGGCACCCTTGTCGATAAGGGGTGTCTCCCCGACCACCGACAGATATTAACTACCGTGAATCACACCTCCCTTCCCCTCCCCCCCATAGTTTCCCACCACCGTCAGTCTTTTTTTTTTATAGTATTATGGTGGATGTTCAAGGTCTGCTATATGAGTGAGAGCATGTGATACTCAGATCTTTGTTTCTGTGAGAGGTCACTCAGTATTATTGACTCTAGTTCCATCCAGGTTGCTGCAAAGTTCATGATTTTGTTCTTTTTTATGGCTGCGTAGTATTCCATTGTGTATATGTACCACATTTTTTTAATCCAGTCCTCTTTTGATGGACAGTATGGTTGATTCCAGATTCTTGCTATTGTGAACAATACTGCGATAAACATTAGTGTGTGGGTATCTTTTTGGTAGAGTGATTTGAGTTCTTCAGGGTATATTCCCAGTAGGGGGATTGCAGGGTTATATGGGAGGTTGATATTTAGAGCTTTTAGGAATCACCACACTGTTTTCCACAGAGGTTGCACCAGTTTGCACTCCCACCAACAGTGTAGGAGTGTTCCCTTTTCACCACACCCTCTCTAGCAACTGTTATTTTTTGAGTTATTGATAATTGCCATTATGACTGGAGTTAGGTGGTATCTCAGTGTGGTTTTGATTTGCATCTCCTTGATGATTAGTGAGGTTGAACATTTCTTCATGTATCTGTTGGCTACTCGGATGTCTTCCTTTGAGAAGTGTCTGTTCATATCTTTTGCCCACTTTATAATGGGGTTGTTTGTTTTTTTCTTTTCAGCACGTTTGAGTTCCTTGTAGATCCAAGATGTTAAGCCTTTATCAGACCTGGAGTTGGCAAATACTTTTTCCCAGTCTGTAGGCTGTCTCCCTGCTCTCTTGATGGTTTCTTTGGCATTGCAGAAGCTTGTCAATTTAATGAGGTCTCACTTGTCTATCTTATCTCTTATGGCCTGTGGGTTTTGCGTTTTGTTCAGGAATTGGATGCCAGTTCCAATTTCCATAAGGGTGTGTACTGCATTTTCTAAGGTTCTTATGGTTTGAGGTTTTACATTTAGGTCTCTGATCCATTTAGAGTTATTTTTGTGTATGGGGACAGATAGGGGACTTGTTTGAGTCTTCTGCATGTGGTCAGCCAGTTTTC